GATCTGCATGGGAAAAAAAGGACTTCACATTCAAGTTGTAATTCTTTCACTACATAGAGGGAATACATGCCATTTCAAATTGATTTAGATTCCTATTTGTTAGCACTTTTATTAAGCTAAAAAAATAACAGTTTTGAGAGGAAGATTAAAATAAATAAAACAGAAATAAAACATAGTATGGAGATTTTTTGGGGGTGGTTTACATGAAATTCCCTAGTGTTCAGAATACTCCAGTTACTTGAATAGCTGGTTTCCAGTTACTTAAATCGTTCAACATTTAAGAGTTATTGTCTCAGACCCAACATTGATTCCCAGAAAACAAAACTTCCTGCTTTTTCATGTCCTGATTAGTTTCTTGACTTATAATGAACTAGCCAAAGAAATAAAAAAATTTACTTTTTCTGCACCTGCAGGAGAGACTGCTGCTGACAAAAGCTGTTTTAATTTAAATTACACCCATGGTCAGTTTTGTCAGATATGGTAGGTGCAGATCTCTCTGTATCCTCCCTTGACACCTCACACAGTAAATGCAGCATCTTTTCCTCTGGCTTTAGTAAGTTTAACCTTGCCATTCTCAGATGCGCTCAGAATGCTCTTACCATTCTAGGTGAAAGGTCCTGTCATTCCTTCCAGCCTGTCCCTCTGACCAAGAGGGTCATCATTCTACATCTCCAGCTGCTCCAAAATTTTCTGAAGGATCTTACTTATGCTTAAATTTTTGCTGCCAAGATCTTTCAGGGACTACTTCCATCTCATGTACCACACAGAATTGAAAAGTCTTTCACCTCTAAGCAGACCATGATATCAGTGTTTTTTGCTTTCTGCCTACTGTCTGCAAAAAACCACTTTCACACATTCACCCAAGCTACTGGTCTTAGAGGACATGCCCCAAGCATATGTGCAACTCTTTCTTTTTGATCTCCCTTAATGTCTTTTTAATCTTAGTGTCCTCAAAAACACTGAAAACTGCCAGGTTACTGCTTCATTAGTTCCTTATATGCTACCTCTTATCATAAATAATGCCCAACTTTATAAAAATATGAGTATGTGGACGTTCCTGACTCAGGCTGAATTTGTACGATGATTTGCAGGTCCAGTATTAATGATTGTACAGCAATGGCCACAGGCCTATAAATAATAATAAAAATTAATAGTAAACAACTAATTACATAAAATAACGTTAAACAACTAGTATTAGATGCACTGTGCCAAACAAAAGGTCCTTTTTGCCTATAATCTTTCATCTGACAGTGGTCTTGTATCAATGTCTGGGGAAGAATGAAAGCAGGACAAAAATATATATAGTTGTATCCCAGCTTCTAACTAATTTCAGCATAAGGACATCCTGAATCAGAAAATAGTTTTGGTATTTCTAGTAACTATCAATGATCTCTCCTTTGCATGTGGCCAGTGTCCCCTGGAATGCAAAGGAATGTAAAGTTTTAGCATCTGCTGTCTTCTTTGCAATGAGTTCCTCGGGTGTGCCAGGCTCCAGTATGAAGAGCTGCCTCCTGTATTTAGATGGAAACCTTCTAGCAACTTCATACAATGCCCTGTAGATCTTGTAGTAGAAGAGATAATGAACAGCCAACCCTGACCACTCTTTCATGCCACACATGATTTTGAAGATTTCTATAATTTCCCCCTTTAGGCTCTCTTTGAGCCAGATGACAGGCATTTCTGACAGCTGTACACAGTTAGCTTAATAGTTCTTCATCCAGAAGCTGTTTGAGGCCTTTGACGATCCTTGTTGCCCTTCTCTGACACTTTCCAGTTCTGCTAAATGTTTTTGATGAGAACTGTACAGAGTATTCAAGACGACAGCAAACCACAGGTTTATGCAGTAACATACTGAGGTTCTATGGTTGGCTTTCTGTTCACTTCCTAATAATTTCTAGTATTTGATTTGCTTTCTGACAACTGAACAACAAGCTAATACTTTCACAGAACTACCACATATAACCCCAAGATCTTGCTCCTAAGGCATAATAGTTAGCTTGGTCTTAAAAAAAGGAGAATATTTTTATTTGAACTGAAAGTCCCACAAAAGCCTCAGAAATGTGTCTTAAATGACACTGTTATGCTAAGAAAGTGATTTATTATTATTATAATATAAAAAGAGCATGGAATTAAAAATGGAGTGAAAAGCCTTAAATCTTCTTATGGAGGACAAATCCAGGAAGACCAGCCACTGTTTTTATCAGTTTCCTGTGCTTTTGTGCTTAAACAGGAATGGCTGTTCAAGTGGCATGTGCATTATTATTTTTGAGAAAGCATGAACAGGGCTTCACGGTTCTCACTGAAGTTAATTTCTGAACTATGTTTACACACAGTCTTAAGTTACTTTTCTGGGAATGTAGAATAACTGGTTTACATTTAGCAAGGTTTAGCTTCACTGTTTCCTTAATAAAACACAGTTTTGTAAAGATATAAATAATCATGTTAAAACATCCACATTAACTTATTCTGAGAGCAAAATACCTGCAACAACATTCTGATATGACAGCATTTTATACCCACTCCACACTCTGCACAGTTATGAGAGGAGAAGTTTCGGCAGAAGGCCACAAAGGGCAGTTTTACCATCATGTATTCCTTCAAACATCACTCCAATTGATTTTATTTGTTTCTGTGTTTTTCCCCCTCTCTGAAATCTTCTCAAAGTAATGGAATGATCCTTCTCAAAAAGAGAGACCTATCACTGCTTTGAGAGAAATCTTAGTAAAATCCCGAACATGCAGGACACTTACATGCAGATAAGCAGAACAGTACTTTCAAAGTCAATTATCTTGAAATTATAAATATGTTCAAGTGCTTTCTTGGATTAGGACCCCACAGGCAATTTATACCCTTGGCTCCTACAGCTCACTGCATTTTTACTTCAAAGCACTTTAGCTCAGCCACACAATAACAACAAACGTTTTGAAATGTTATCTGCCCAGGAACAAAACATTCTGTTCTATTTTTCTAGGATGAAGATGGCAAATGATAATTAAAAAAGGTAAGAACTTTCATACAGACCCTCCTACCTCTCTCTTGAAAGTATATGTGTATATATACTTAACTTGGATATAATTTTTCAAATCTGCTCAACAGTGAATCAGAATAGAGCTGAAGCAGCACAAGAAGGTAAAGGAAAAAGAAAAGAGGGTATCCACACTACTGATAAGAAGCTATTTTCCTCAGGTCGTTTATACACAGTTCTTGGTGGTAGACAGGCTCTAACAGAGCCAGGGCCAATAAAGTAACTGTTGCTCAGAATTGCTCTGTGGAGCAACCTCTCCTCCACTGACTACACGAGCAAAGGGTCTCTGTTAGCTACCTAGGACAAAATGCTATGACTGCTCATCTACACCATCTAAGCCGTGTCTTAACACTCTGCTTTCCTATTTTAATAAGTCTTGATGTCCAAGCTGCTCTCTGAAATTCACTCCCTAAAAGACTGATACTGGCAAGACTTGTATGATGTTCTTTATTTGTAGCCCATTCTTGCACTGTGAATAGTCTGAATGAAGTTCATGGGACTATTTATTGTGAAAGCAATTCGAATGAATCTAAAACATTGCGCAATCTTTCAAGATAACTTTGAGTACTGCACAGGAGTTCAGACAAAGAGAAAGTCCTAGAAATCTGTATACATTGGCTCTCAAAACAGACTAGATTAAGTTAACCAATAAGATTTTTAATATTTGAAGACTGAACCAATCTTTTCATAAAGGGTTTTTCTGAGAATAAGTCAAAGTCATGCAAGTCCTCCGTATAAAAAATTGCACAAGCAAAAGATAAAGAATGAGGAACACAAGGCATATTCTTTGACGTACTGAAAACAACTCAGAATGTTCTCAGACAAAATAGAATCCAAGAGAAAAAGATACAGAGAAATGTTCCTTCAATACCTGAGATGACTAGTAATGGTGACCACTTTCAAGCATGCAATTCAGGTTAAACAATATATTGCAGTCACCAGATGGGTTACCTACAAAAGGAAAGTAGGGTCAATCCGTAAGCCCTCTCTGAGTGGTGTCACTGGTGTATTTATTATTGGCAAATCAAACAATGATGACAAGATAAGAAGCAGATGACAAGGTTTGCATTATATTTTGACTGGAAATGAGACTTTAAATAAAAACCCAAATGAAATACAGAATTTTTTTCCATAAGATTTCTGGAGGAAAAGAGTTTGCTTTGAGAGACACAGAATGAAAATTTTTCAAGTTGCTGGATGAAAAAAAAAGTTTATAAAAGACTTCTTATGCTGGGAAGCCTCCCTTTTTTTTTTTTTTTTTGTCAGCTCCCAAGAAAGATCAAGCCTGAAGAGAAACCTCCCCTTGCATTTCTATGGCCGGAAATTGTTTTCTCTGAAATGCAGGCTGATTGCATGATTAGGAATGCAAGGCTTTGTGTGAAAATATACAATTGAAGGTAACACTACATGCAGCCTACAAACCAAAAAAGCAGATAAATCATAAAGGACATATAAACCAAAAAAGTCAGACGGAGCCTTCCTGAATTAATTCCTTAGAGGCACACTAGAAATTTCTATGTTGTGCCCATTAATGTCTCATAAAACATTACAATATATTCTTAGAACATGGGATAAAAAACAAATAAAGTATGTAAAAGCTCATTTTACTAATCAGAACACTCTGTATGTGGTAATTGATATAAATCTGTGATGCAATTAAATTTGCCCTAGAACAATTCTTGAAGACTCAATGTTTATTTTACTTCTTTTAAAAAATAAGCCTGTTACCTCCATCATTAAAAATCCCAGGCCACTATATGACACATTTGTTTTTGCTTTTCCAAAAATCAGTAACATTTTTCCTTCTAAAAAAATCCTTATGTGATAATGAATAAAACACAGCATCACTTTTAATAGTGAAACAAGTAACTGTTGATGTGACTAAAATTCTCTAAGTATCCAATTCCTTCAAGATATCTGTAAGAAAAAGGATATAGTTACAGAAACTTTGGTGGCCATCTAGCTGTTTACTCACCCATTTCCTGTCTGGTACTGCAGATTCCTGTCCCATATTTTTGTAACTCTATGGTCACAGTTTTCAAAGCATTGACATCTGTTTCTGCAAAGCCGAGGTAGTTATAAGAACCCATATTGATTACATTCTTGATAGTCCTTCCTGTAAACCTATAATTAAAGCAAATTTTAAAGAATAGTGCAACTTTCCCTCAAACCCCAAACAAAAAGAAAAGAAAAAATGCTGAGTTTTCCTATTTGGGAATTTACAACCCTCATGCTTTAATGTCCTAAAAGTTTTTCAAGCCTTTCTGTTTTCCTGACTAAATACTGCATCCTGCTCAGAATGTTTTCCAGATTCCAAGCTGTAGATGGCAATATACTGGTATTAGGTGAAATGGTGCTTTTATGGATGTAAATAAATAAACAAACAAAGCTAAGACTTTATATAGGGAACAACATACAGACACTATTTTTTTTTCAAGCAAATTGTCAATAGCTTCTAGAACATTATGAGTGTTCACACACACACACAGAGAAATTAAACATGAGGAAAATGGTGTGGGAAACACTATGACACATTCTCAATAAGCTAAAATATAGTCAACCTACACATTGTCTATGTGGTGAATTTCCGTATCTATTTAACTCAGTAATGGTTGTGATACACTGAAGTCTTCAAGATGTAAACTGCTTAAAACTCACTGCCAAAGACTCACTGTGTAAGTAAGAAGCCACATTTATGCAATACAAGAAATTATGATTTAAATCCTAACCAAGGGATACAACAAATTTCGTTGCAATATTTTGACTAAAGGTCTGTTATAAATGAAGCGTAAGCAGTCTTTCTTGTGCTGACACAGCCAAACAAAACCCATTTGCGATAGAGTTCAGACCCTTCCGCACTGCATTTCCGAACAATATTCAGAAGAAAGGGTACAGATTATCAGCACAGTACTGATTTCAGAAAAAAATATGCTGATGTATATTAGTCAAGGACCTAGGTATAAGGGGCTAGATGCAACTTTCTGTGCTTTGCAGATGTATCAGGAGTATTCTTATGAGGCTGACAGCTGCTGAGTGTGAGCTGACTCACCTAAATGTCCAGTTGTAATCATCTGTAACGCGTTCCATGAGGTCAAACTGTGGCCCTGGGACACTGCAAATGGGACGATTCCAGTTATCCCGTATTCTCATATAGAGGTTTCTGGTGTAAAAGTTCTCAAAATCTTGATAAAGTGGCACAAAATCCTGGTTTGAAAACATGCACAGGGTTATGTTGCTAGGAAAATGTCTGCTTCTGTACCCAAGTCATTCCCATTAAAAAGGAAAAACTAATTCATTAATAAACAAAGAGCTGTAACAGCCACATGTTCCTATGTCACAAACAACTCCAATCAGCAAATATCTTACTTTAATTCCCTTGAAATACAGTGTTGGCTTTTTTAGGGGGTGGTTTTTTTGTTTGTTTTTTTTTAAAAAGGTCAACAAATTGGCCTAATTCTCCAGTCCAATATTTGGAAAGTTGAAAACGGAAGAACTCATGATTCTTTCACTTGGAGAAATCAAATGCTACAAATTGAGCATTTTGCTATGTGTGGAGCAGATTGTAAAACTAGGATAAACAACTCATTATATTTCATTAAATGCTGGATATGTTAGATTAAAGCTAGTCCAGTCTAATTGATCTAGGCATTATCGGCCTAGACTGGACATGCAAACAGCCAGTAAAGACAACTAGTTTGGTTGACAAATGATTTCTATCTATGGATTTTACTTGGGAATTAAAGTAAAAGAGATGTGTGGAATCTAAACAAAGTTTTATATGAAACAGCAACATAGCCTTATTAGATACTGGATACAATAAACTGATAAAATAACATGGCATGTAGTTACATATGTGGGACACTGGAGAATTAAATGAACACATAATCCATGGTGGATGGCAAAAAGATTTAACTGGCATGTCTGGAATCAAAATAGCTCAACAAATGGCCAAATCATGAAGTAAATTGAAAAGGATATTCCATTTTCCTCCATTATGCCAGGTGTTATTTTACATGATGGATCAAACTGCACAGAGAAGGAGGAGCAACAAAAAAAGTTAACAAAGTTAGAAGGCAGTTGAGCTTGCTGATGTGCAAGTTTCACTGAGAACTATGTGGGATGAAAAAATTTCTAAGTCAGGACCTGCAAGAATTCAGGCTACATTCACTTTGGGCTGGGGCAATGATTCCTAAGTGCTCTGTGACGAGCAGTTCAGCAAATGTAAGTCAGCAATTACAAAGATGTATCACTATGAAAGACACTTTAAGACAGCCAGATGGGACAAAGAAAAATTTGGGTTTAAGAGATTTGGAGAGATTATATATTTAATAATAACACATTTCTGAGTTTTCTTTTTCTGTGGATTGACCTAATACAGTGAGATTCTATTTTTCTGAGAGTATTCTGACACTCTTAGAACAAGGTGAACACCTCTCTGGGTGAAAATTATGATTTTACATATATACAGGTACGTATTCATACACATGTGTTTAACTGTACTGCAGTGCGTGTCATTCCTCTCATCCCTATGCAATGTTCTTCTCTAAGATGAAAGTTGTCTGCCTTGTTGTTTTGGTAGGTTATTGTACATAACTTGCAAGCAGGGGAAAATGCAGCTGTGGATACATAATGTCTTTTTCATACATACTTTTTGTTGTTCTCTCTCTGCAGCAACGTTACGTTTTTCTAGTCCCCAGGCTCTCATAAAATCTCGCAGGTAGCCAAATATTGTTCCCACTCCAAAACCCAGGAAAGTAAGAACAGCAACATACATTGGTGCCTGTTCAAAGTGCTCAGTAATTGTTTTTTTGTGGAGAGTTCCATTTGATACGCCATTCTTCTGAAAATATAGAAGAGAAACTTGTGATTAATACATTTCATCTCATCAAAGCTTAGATGTTAGACCTCTAGGCAAATCTTTTTCTCTAACACACCAGAAATTAGGAAAGACATTTAGACCTCACACTGTCAGCTGATGCAACCTATACCTGAAGAGGAGGACTTTTAACACTGCAGTTGTTACTGATCACTACAAGTATCTTCCATTTTCTCTCCTCTCCACCAATGTCCTTAATAGCAGGTGTCTTCAACACCACTCCCTTGTCTATTTTGAAACATGAAACTTATGAAAGATTGGCAACATATTATTGTGTAATTGGACAATTATTTCAAAGGTGATTAAATGGAAACCACAATACTCTGTTCTTGTGAGACAGAGCTATAAAAAGGGAAGGGCAGCATTAAAAACTCACCTACTCTGTGCCTGACTCTGCTTCTAGAAGTCTTGTGTAACCCATTGCAGCAACTAACCTATATACAACAAATCCTGTCTAAAATAGGGCACCTTTAGTATGTTGCTCTTCAGCTCTGAGGAAGTATCCAAAACAGCTATGATCCCAGACTTCTATTTCTGTTCTGATTTCACAAATGCTTTTAGTCATATCTTCAGTGACCTCTTCCATACTTCTAAGGCTACTTAAAAAAAAAAAAAAAAAAGGAGAGAAGAGATACACAGACACCCTCCTTGTTGGAATTAGTGACCCTATTGTGAGCAGCTTCTCGAAACTTACAACCATGTGTGGACAAAATATTTTGTCTTGAAAATATTCTAAAATTTCCATTTTCAAATTAAAGCAGCTAAGTTTTTCAGTTGCAATCTTCTCAAATCACCTTATATTCAGTAGGGTTATCAGATTATTCTTTGGAAGAGAGGCAAATCCCTTCTGCAAAATATCATGACATTTACAGTTACTGCCTAGTAACAGCCAACCTGCCAATTAAAAATAACAAAATTTAATCCAGAAAAAATAGTGCTCTCCTTAAAAAAAAAAAAAAGACACAAGACATACATTTTTGAGCATATTATAAAGCAAGACTACCATATGAAGAAGTACCAGTAATACATTGCTGCCTGTGGGGTGGATGAACTAAAAAAGGTAGATTATCTATTTATGTAATGCAGCAAGCTGAAATAGAATAATCATATTAAGAACAACTGCAAATTCACCGTACTTGTCAAACCTAGAGCATTATTGATCTTCATACTGCTTTACTTGTCAGACCTAGAGTATTATTGATCTTCATACTGCTTTAAAATGCCTTTATCCTCAAAAGATATTGATCTCAGTAGTAACTTGCTGTCCTATCCTGGATTCACAAAGTTTTCTTGGGAGAGAGAGGAAAAAAAAAAAAAAAAAAAAAAGGGGTTGGGCACAAGATAGAATATAAAGATTTTGAAGGAAACCCAAAAAGGAAAAAATTGCTGGTAGGGCTGAACAGAAACAGATTTAGACTTTGGAAAGACTTACTGCCCTGCAAGGGAGAAGGAATGCAGGGCTGGCTCTTACCATGTGAGCGTAGACCTTTGAAGCAATGCTACACATGCATTCCTACCTCAAGCTAATTGGTCTTTTAGGGCAACCTATTTACCATGAAAAACATTTTATGAGAATGAGTTAAATACATGGCCAAGTCATATTTCACATGAGCCACAAGAGCTGTGTGCACACAGTGACAAGATAAAGTATTTATTTCATTAAGAATTAAGCTCAGTCATATTACCTGACCTTTGCCATGGGCTAAGAGCATACTTATGGTCACCTATGGCAATTCAGTTGACATCGTAGCTTGTCAAGCTGTGATGGATGTGACAATGCATCTGAGCCCGGAGGAGAGAATTAGCATGATGATTCTCTTTATCAATTTTATTAAGAAACACTTTGTTGTTATATATCTTATTGGTAAAGGAAGAGGGAAGCTCATATCAGACTCCTGCATTGCAAAACTCTTCTTCCACAGTAAAACTAGTCTGTTGTGGAACTCTTACTTCAGCTGCTCCTGTTTTATGCAGTCAGTATGACTTATGTATTTAAACATGTAATCACTGTCACCTACTATCCTTAATACAAACAGATTGTAGTAAATGGTGTCAATAGTAGTAAAGTACTAAGAATGCAGAGTCAGATAGTGACCCATATTCTCCAGTCTATGAATGATGAAAATCAAGAGTCTTCAAACAGTGCAAGGTTAGTACAAAGCTGGGAGAAAAAATTCAAGAAAATACAGTGACATCTTGTCTAAAAACTAAAGTGAGGAAAGCAAAGAGCATTTCATCCATCCCTAGCATCCCACAAAAAAGTAGAGAAAGAGCCTCGGTATATAATCCCAACTTCCAGCAACTGGTGGCTTTGAGATCTCATGAGCCTGTGTTATCATATTTAATAGTCATCAAGGGATAACTATGAATTTGTTCATCATTTTTGAACCCACAAATACTGTAGAAATGAATTGTGAATTTTGATAATTGACTTATTTTGTAAAAAAGAGTATTTCCTTTTTTTTATTATAAAATTGCCTGATAATTTCATTTGACAATTTACTTTGACCTCTGTTGTCCAGCTTTCCTACCCAACCAATTACACAACTCATAATTTTCTGTACTTAAATGACTTCTGCCTCTCCATTTGTCTCTTCCCAAGCTGAAGAATCTTAATCTATTTAATTCTAGCCTAGTCTAGTGTCCTTGTCCTTACACAGATTTAAAAAATAAAAAAATCTGTATTTTAATGCTCAACTTTGTCTTCCTTCTGCAAAGTTCAATAATATCTTTTTGAGATGCAGAGGAAGGGAATTAAAATTGCATACAACACTTGAGGGCACAGTATGGATTTATACATCTGCGAATGATGCTTTGTCTTGTTTTCTTTTGGTTTTTAAAAAATTGTTTACATTCTATTTGCCCTCTTGCCACAGTTCACAGTTTCAGAAATATCTCTTATGATTACAATGTATCCCTCCTCAGTTGCAACAAATTCCTAATTTAGAGCACACTGCTATTTGTGCATTTTAGGATCATTTCCCCCTCCAATTCATTCACTGTTTTTTATTTAGTGACCTGCAATTTTGTCTACTGTTTTATCAGCATTACACACTACCAACGAGAACTTTCTGCAATGCTTGTTGTCCAGAGCTTATTTTTCACTACCCTGAAGAATTTGGTATTGTGAACGCATATTGTCACCTATTTCTCCTCATTCCTTTTTCCACACCATTGGTGAAAATGTGAGAGAGCGCAGGTCCAATAAAAGATCCCTGAGGGACTTCATTTCCTGCATCTCCCTAGTCACCTTTTCAAAAATAGTATCTTATTTGTAACCTCCCCCATTTCTCTGGCAAAAGGGCCAGCTTAAGCAGCAGCCCAGAGTTACTCAGCAATTTTATGTTTGGCTTCCTTTAAAAATCTCAAGTAACTACCCTTCATGATATACTAATCCACATTTTATTGGCTTGTTGTGATGGGTTAACCCTGGCTGGATGCCAGGTGCCCACCAAAGCCATTCTATCACTCCCCCCTCCTCAGCTGGACAGGGGAGAGAAAAAATATAACAAAGAGCTTGCGGGTCAAGATAAGGACAGGAGAGATCATTCACCAATTACCGTCACGGGCAAAACAGACTCTGTTTGGGGAAAATTAACTCAATTTGTTACAAATCAACCAGAGTAAGGTAATGAGAAGTAAACCCAAATCTCAGAACACCTTCCCTCCACCCCTCCTTTCTTCCCGGGCACAACTTCACTCCTGGATTTCTCTACCACCCCCCCCCCCAGTGGCACAGGGGGACGGGGATGGGGTTTATGGTCATCACATGTTATTTTCTACCGCTTCATCCTCCTCAGGGGGAGGGCTCATCACACTCTTCCCCTGCTCTAGCGTGGGGTCCCACCAACGGGAGACAGTCCTCCACGAACTTCTCCAACGTGGGTCCTTCCCATGGGCTGCAGTTCTTCACGAACTGCTCCAGCATGGGTCCTTTCCATGGTGTGCAGTCCTTCAGGAGCACACTGGTCCAGCGTGGGTCCCCCACAGGGTCACAAGTCCTGCCAGAAAACCTGTTCCATGGGCTCCTCTCTCCACAGATCCGCAGGTCCTGCCAGGAGCCTGCTCCAGCGCGGGTTTCCCACAGGGTCACAGCCTCCTTCGGGAACTCTCCTGCTCCGGCCTGGGGTCCTCCCTGGACTGCAGGTGGATATCTGCTCCACCGTGGACCTCCACGGACTGCAGGGGGACAGCCTGCCTCACCATGGTCTTCACCACGGGCTGCAGGGGAATCTCCTCTCCGGCACCTGGAGCATCACCTCCCCCTCCTTCTTCACTGACCTTGGTGTCCGCAGGGTTGTTTCTCTTACATGTTCTCACTCCTCTCTCCAGCAGCTGTTTCTCTCTGTCCCAACTTTTTTTCCTTCTTAAAAATGTTATCACAGAGGCGTTACCACTATCACTGATTGGCTCGGCCTTGGCTGGCAGCGTGTCCGTCCCAGAGCCGGCTGGCATGGGCTCTCTAGAACACAGGGGAAGCTTCCAGCAGCTTCTTACAGAAGCCACCCCTGTACCCCCCCCCCCCCCCCCCCCCCACACCACCCCCCACC